TTTTTCTTTTTTTGTAGAGTGGGGTTTGAATCACAGGAATCTTGATGGTTCCAATTGTAGAGTTATAACAATAATAAGATGTTGCCAAAATACTGAAGGAAACAGTTGCTCACTTGTTACTAGAATTATTTATCCAAGTGAAAAAAAAAATAAAGTAACTTTTAGTAAAACTTTTATAAGACCCAGATGGGCCAGACCACAAATCATAAAACTGTAAAGAATATTTATAATGCCATAAGGTAAGAAAATATTCAAAAATACTAAAGAAAATCCATGTTTTTTTTCAATAGTAAACAAAGTTATGTGTAACATTAAGTTATGATACCTGAGTCAAACCAAACATCCATTGTGTCAGTTCCTTTTTCATATTCTGTCAGCCACACAATAAGAAAAAGGGGCTAAAATGAATCTGTCTAGGTATTGTTTGAATTGATAAATGAATAGACTTATAAAGAAATTTTTTTTTTTGATTTATTTCTTTCTCTTATTTGATAGATGTCAAGTACCGGAGACACAAATGATGTAATTGACCTCTCTCAGTCTCAATCTGATAAAGAACATGATCCTCAGCCTGAAACTCCTTCTGGTTCAAAGGTATGCCCCCTCCTCTTAAGCCAAAAGCTAGACAATATTCTGAAGTTTGGGAGCATTTTATCAAAATTTTTAAAGAAGGAAGTAAGACTGCTGCATGTGTTAAATGTAACCATTGTAAAGCTTCTTATGCTTGGATTAGTGCAAATGGAACTAGCACTTTGAGAAAACATATTGCAAATTTCCCTAAGTCCCCTCAGAATAAAGAAAATAAAAAACAAAAGACTTTGGCATTTCAATCTGTAACTGAAGGTGAAAAAACTCTTGGAGTTTGGAAATTTGATCAGCAAGCATGTAGGGATTCACTTGTTAAAATGGTAATCACTGATGAGTTGCCATTTAGGTTTGTAGAGCGTGAAGGATTCCATCAATTTTGTAGTGTGATGCAACCCAATTTCAAAAAGTTTTCACGCTTTACAGTAGCACGGGATATTGTGGATTTATATTGTAGTGAGAAGAAAAAATTGAAAAATGTGTTGAAGAATGCAAACTATAGACTTTGTCTCACTATGGATTCATGGACATCTCTACAAAATGTTTCATACATGTGCCTAACTGCCCACTTTATTGATAAAGACTGGAATTTGCAAAAAGAATTCTCAACTTTAGTGTGATTTCTAGTCACAAAGGAGAGGCAATTGGTAAGGCAGTGGAATCATGTTTAGTTGATTGGGGCATAGAGAAGATTAGTACAATCACTGTGGATAATGCAAGTGCAAATGATGTAGCTATTGCATATGTGAAAAGGAAGTTTTCAAAAAACAATGACTCTTTGATTTTAAGGAGTGAGTACTTGCATATGAGGTGTTGTGCCCATATAATTAATTTAATTGTCAAGGATGGGTTAAGTGAAATAAAAGATTCAATAACTCGAATTCGTGATGCGGTGAAGTATGTAAGGAGTTCTCCACAACGAGAGCAATTTTTCAGGACATGTGCTGAAACAGAGAGGGTAACATGTAAAAGCTTGTTGTGTCTAGAAGCTCAAACTAGGTGGAACTCCACATATCTAATGCTAGATGTTGCAACAAAGTTTCAAAAAGTATTTGAGAGTTCAGAGGATGAGGATCCACATTTCAAACTAGAACTTAATCATGGACCTCCCACCTCTTAAGATTGGGAAGATGCTCATGTTTTTACACAATTTTTGCAAAAGTTTTATGATGCAACTGTTCGCTTGTCTGGTTCTTTGTATGTCACTTCCAAATTGTACTTCACTGAAGTTTGTGCTATAGAAAGTGCCTTAACTGAATGGGGAAAGAGTTTAGATCATTCTTTAAAAGCCATGGCAATAAAAATGAAGACTAAATTTGACAAGTATTGGGGAAAAATTGAAAAAATAAATATGATGTTATTGATTGCTGTTGTGTTAGATCCTCGTTATAAGTTGAAGTATGTGAGGTTTTGTTATTTTGAAGTTTATCAACCTGTCATGGTGAGTGAGCTCACTCAAAAAGTAAGAGAGACTTTGAATAACATTTTTGATGAGTATAAACAGTTTGAGACAGTTGCTTCATCTTCCAATGAAATGGTTCATGAGGTAGACATTGTTAATCAAGTAAACATTGGTGCAAGTGAGCACCAAGTGTCTCTTATGACAAAATTTCAAAAGCTTTTGGAGAAAGAAGAAGGTGATGGAGGAAAGTCAGAAGTAGATAGGTATTTGGAAGAATCTTGTGAAAAGGAAGTCGTAAACTTTGACATCTTAAGTTGGTGGAAGACAAATTCTTCAAGATATAAAATTCTTTCTCATGTTGCGAGGGATATTTTGGCCATCCCTGTCTCTACTGTTGCTTCTGAGTCTACTTTCAGCACAGGAGGTCATATCCTTGACCAATTTCGTAGTTCTCTTACTCCAAAACTTGTTGAAAGTTTAATTTGTACACAAGATTGGTTGCATGCTTCGCCATTGCCACTTTAGATAGAAGAAAACTTTGCAGATTTGGAGGACATAGAAAGAGGTAATAGAATTCTAATATTCAATTAATCATTTAAATTTCATTCATGTATTGTGTTATTTTTTACTTTAAACTGAAATTAATTTTTTTACGGCTCTAACCAATGTTAACATAGCTGCTAGAAAGTGATTTCGTCTGCTGGAAATCACCTATTACTGCTGCTATTGCGCTGCTACTGCCACTGCGCTGTTGTGGTGCTTTTGTTTGTCATCCTTAAGATGTGCTGCTGTCAACATGCCTTTGTTTGTTTATTTGTTTTTGTCTAAAACTATTTTATATCTCTTTGCTTAGAATTTGTGGAAAAGGGAAATGTAATGTCTACTACTATTGAATTTGGCTGTTGTTATCTACTATTGTTGATGTGTATTTGCTTGGAATGGATGATGTTTGCTTAGAATGGATGTTATTCGCTCCAGTTTAGATGCCATTGGAATGGATGTTGTTTACTTATATTGTTTACACGTTTTCACCAGCTATGTTGCTATTGGAATGGAAATGCTATTGGAATGGATGTTGTTTACTTATATTGTTTACAGGTTTTCAGCAGCTATGTTGCTATTGGAATGGATGTGCTATTGGAATGGATGTTGTTTACTTATAATACTGTTTACAGGTTTTCAGCAGCTATGTTGCTATTGGAATGGAAATGTAATGTCTATATTTTTTTTCTTATTTAATTATTTAAATCCATGGTCCTAAACCGATCCAATCCGTGTTTCAACGGATTGGTTTCACAATTTAAACGGATTGGATTGGTTTTAATTTTTCAGGAACCGTAGATAATGGATTGGTCTTGATTTTTTTCCAATCCAGACTAATCCGAACCATGCTCACCCCTATTAGAAACCTTCAATGCCTCATACACACACACATATGTATGTAATAAATTCTCAATCATAAGCAACAATCAAGACCATAAAAAAGATTAAGATTTTTCAAATAATAAGAAACATTTCTCAGATTTTTCTTTTCAAATTCCAGTTATGAAAAGATCGGGCAAATCAATTATATTGTACCAAAAAACATAAACAGGCACAAATTCTGTCTTAAGATTGTTAGAAAAACTAGTACCAAACTATATGAAAAATATAATTTAAAATTATGCAAACGCTTTTTGGGCAAAACCAAAAACCAAAATAAATCAACATAATAACGTGATAGAACTTACAGTACATAAAAAGACAAAACCTGATCGAGTCGAGTGTGTGACACTCTTTTCTTAAGACAGATTCGTCCTCCCACCAGTGCTTAGGATTCAATGGACGTCTATCTCCCAGGATACAACGATCAATGTCTTGCATTACTATTGCAAGCCTAGCAAATTTCGTTGTGTATGTACTCTCTTTATAGGAAATTAGACTCAAGAAATATGAAGAATAAATGCAAAGTGAAGAAAAAAATGACAATTCTCTGCGCTAAAATGAAACGAGAGGAATGGAATTTATAAATTCCTCCATGACTCTTTAGAAAAGTTGTGACCCTTCAAAAGGACACACCCTTCCATCTCAAGAGACACAACCGTTAGAGTAAATTTAAATTCAAATTTTCCAACAAAACAGTGTGTGTTGGTTTTTAGGCAACGATTGGTAATGCAGGTGGCTGAAGATGTGACATGTCTGTAGACGCAAGTTTATGTTATGAAAGATATTTTGGGAACTGAAAAAAAAAAAAAAACAAAACAAAAACAAACAAACAAAGGGTCAAAAACAATCACATTGTTCCGCCTTCCTAAAGTCATTTTAGATTAGATTTAGATTATAGTTATAATAAAACACCAACAAAAGTTTCTTTTTGTTTCAAACATTATTTTTGTGTACCCCATTTAAAAATAGGTAAAATTTCTTAATCATATCTTCTTTTTTCAAATTATTTTTATTTAATTTCAAAACAAAATTTTAAATTAGTCTAAAATTGTACATAACACAAGTTTTATTTTAATCTAGATATAGATATATACACACTATATAGATATATACACACCAAAACTTAGCCGTAAAAACTGGATCTGCCACTACTCACTAACAATAGGAGCCATGGCTCATATGACCTCGTCGATCAAATTCCACAAGAATTAGTGCCCAACCGGCGAGCAACAATCCTGAACCATTAACCAATTTGGGTTTTTTTTTATTCCCGATTGAAACTATGTTGTTTTGACATTCTGTTTTCAAAGCAACCTAATTATTTAATTTGAAAAAATAAAAAATAAAAATGAGGAAGGGTTTTTTTTTTGGATAGGAAAACCAGTAAGGTTAATGGCCCAACAATCATCATGCAAGCGGTTCAAACAGATGCAAACACAGCATAAATAATATCAATTCAAAAAATAAAATAAAATAAAATAAAATAAACAAAATGATGACCAAAAATGAACAAAATGATGAATCATAATATAAACGAGCCCAACATCATTAATAAAATCATGAAACCGAACCATGCCCCCCACAAACATAAATACACAATACAACAATATACCAGAAGTTATTTAATAGCTCACATAGAGTACGTGTTCATGTGCCCAACCAATGAAATGGTATAATTTGCCCACCATCTCATTATTAGGACTATGTATTCATTAACTCCTTTGCTAAAGTGCATAAGAGTCCTGCTAGACACGAAGCTTGAGAGCTTGTGGCTCCCAGAATTTGGAAACACTACTTATAAAACCCCAAACACTGCCCTTAGAAGTCTTTCCAGCTTGTCTTCTAGTGAGCTTCAATAGACCTAATAAAAACACAATAATTAAAAAAAAGATACATGATTTGCAGATACAAAAAATAAAATAAAAAATTTGCTACTTTACCTTCTAAGAACACATCAAATCTTTTGCTACTCAAGCCAGCATTCCATGCATTTTTGTTATTGTCCAAGCTGTTGCTTCGGAAATCCTTCAACAAGTGGAGAGAGAGAGAGAGAGAGAGAGAGAGAACATAAAAATAAACTTAAGAAAAAAAAAGCAAAAAAAAGAAAGTATACTAGCACTTTAAATAAATTTAAAAATAAAAAAACAAAAACAGAAAAAAGAAGAATGTTGAAAATTTCTTGGGGATTGTTAACATCAAGATAAATAAAACATGCTCCAAACAATTTTACATTTTTTTTTCTCACACGGATTAATGAGAAACAAACCAGGCTATATAGATTATAACAAACAATTCTACTTTCTAGAAAAGAAAAATAAACTTCTGTTTGGTAGTTTTTAAATCATGATTTGAGTTTTAAATTGTATTTTGAGTTTTAAATTTTTGAAATGAGTTTTGAAAAGGAAAAATTTGTTAGGAAAATTATTTATAAGTCCTATTTGAAAGACTTTATTTAATGTGAAGTCCTATAAATATTATTTGAGTTTGAAGCCCTATTTAAATAAGAATGTGTTCCATAAGATCCTATAAGTTATAAATGAATGATATTAGTGTACTACGATACCCCTAATTTGTTTCCATATTGTACACTATTTGCTCATTCATCATATCACATTTGGGCAGGCTTGTGTGTATTTAATATTGTGATGGTTGATACGTTTTGATATGTTTGATGTGTGAAGTGGTGTGTATGAGTTCATGGTTTGGTTGGGGATATTTGATCTTGGTTGTTAATTGGATGTCGAATGTGAACCACATCATAGGATGGCAATTGTACATTAAGACCTGGATGATCGTGTTACAATGCATATTACATTTAGTGTGTAACGTTAATCCACATATATCATGTAGTAGATGACGTGTGTTTGTTCGATTGCATATGTGTTTGAATGTGTATCGTGTCTTTATTGCAATTAATGTTTACATACATGTCACAATACATTGCGCAAAATTATTCAGGATTTGGGTTTGTAATTGAACATTACTCGATGTTAAAGTTACGCTGGGTTGGGAGTGATGATGGTTTAATACATGGGTTGGGTTGCGATGTTCCATATTACATTTAGGAAGTTACCTTATTTATAATTTAACGGTGGAGTATTGGAATGTCACGTTAGGTTTGAAATGTTACATGTGTTGGATTTGGGATGAGAAGCATATGAGAATGTCACATTGTGTTTATAAATGTCACATTGGGTTTGAGATGTTACATTTATGTTTTGAATTTCAAATTTCCAACCATATAGATATGATCACATTCTTTGGTAACATTGGATTTCCCATATATGATATTGCCATTAATCAAGTTATTTTGAATTTCAGAAGCATATGGAAATGTCACATTTGGTTTGGGAATGTCACGTTGAGTTTGGAATGTTACATTTATGTTTTGAATTTCAAATTTCCAACCATACAAATATGATCACAATTTATGGTAACGATTTCCCATATATGGTATTGCCATTAATTAGATTATTTTGAATTTCAAATTTCTAACTATAAAAATATAATCACAATCTATGGTAACATTGGATTTTCCATATACGATATTATCATTAATCAGATTATTAATTAATGAAGATTAGGGGTATACGTGTCCACAGTAAAACCACAGGAGCTATTAGACTATAAGTTTTTTCATAGGACCATATTTTATACAAGTCTTCCAAATAGGTCTTAAAAATAATTTACCCAAATTTGTTTGGTTATGAATTTTGAAAAAAAAAAATTGAATTGTACATTAAATTTTGAGTTTTTGAATTGTATTTTGAAATTTTTTAGGTTTATTTTTTATTAAAACATTTAAAGTTTTCTTAATTTTATTTTTTTAGGGAAACTATTTTTTATTGTAAATATTTATTTATTTATTTATTTATTTTAATATGTAGTGCGTTTTATTTTTAATTTTAAATATATAATTTTAATTTAAATATTTTCATTTTTTTAATTTTAATATTTTAAACTCAAAATATAACTTTACACTCAAATCGTAACCAAACACATAACTCAAAACTCAATTCAAAAATTATTTTCAAATCTCATAACCAAACACATAACTTGACACTCCACACTACATTCAAAACTCTATACTCAAATCGTAACCAAACGCATAACAAAAAATTAAAATATTTAAAATAAAATATATATATTTAAAATAAAATATATATATTTAAAATAAAAAATAAGATTTTTTAATATTTAAAAAAATTAAAATATTAAAAAAAAATACAACACATAGATGTATGAAATATAATGCACATTAAAATAAATAAATATATATTTAAAATATAAAATATTTACCCTAAAAAAATAAATTCAAAAAATTTCAAAATATAACTCAAAAAAAGTTTGGTTTTGGTGTTTGAGAAGAGTGTTAATTTACATTTTTTTTTTCTCACACATGGATTAATAAGAAACAAACCATGCTATATAGATTATAACAAACAATTCTACTTTCTAGAAAAGAAAAACAAAATTTCGTTTGGTAGTTTTTAAATCATGATTTGAGTTTTAAATTGTATTTTGAGTTTTAAATTTTTGAAATGAGTTTTGAAAAGGAAAAAATTGTTGGGAAAATTATTTATAAGTCCTATTTGGAAGACTTATTTAATGTAAAGTCTTATGAACATTCTTTTAGAGTTTGAAATCCTATTTAAATAGAAATATGTTTCATAAGGTCCTATAAGTTGTAAATTAATGATATTAGTGTACTATTATACCCTTAATTTGTTTCCATATTGTATATTATTTTCTCATTCATCATATCACATTTGGACAGGCTTGTGTGTATTTGACATTGTGATGGTTGATGCGTTTTGATATGTTTGATGTGTGGGGGTGGTGTGTATGAGCAAGATTTTAAAAACCGGACTTGACCGACCGATTCAACTGGTTGAACTATCAACTGGTCGGGGTTCAGGTCCAGATACACCCACTAAACCGTTCGATGTAAAAAATCGACCTATTTTGAGAGAACCGGGAAAACCGGCATTGAACCGCCGAACCAGTCGACCCGAGGGCGGTTCACCAGGTCAAGAAAATCGAATTTTTGTTTTGTTTTGTTTTTTTTTTTTTCTTTTTTTTCTTTCTTTCTTTCATAATATATATATATATATATACAAATTTTAATTGGAAAATCTCTTTTAAGGGTCTCCTCTTATGAGGAATCCAACTGAGAGCTTAAAATTATTGTGAAAGCTTCTACCTATTTATAAGAAAAAGCTTCTTCCAAAAAAACTCAAAAAATCTATGTGAGATTCAATCAAATTTATTTGAGGGAAACTTAAAATTTTGATATCCTTCCAAATTTTTGCTCTTCTTTCAATCAAATTATTTGAATTAAATCATATGGAGGGAATATTGAATATTTGATTTCTTCTTCCAAAATTAAAATTAATAATATTTTAAAATATATTTTTATGTTTTTTAGTAAAAAAAAAAAAGTATTAGGAGAAATATTTAAGATTATTTAATTTTTTTAATTTATAATTTTATTACTTATATTTTTATTTAAATATAATTTTAATATGTTTAAGACGTCACGGTTCGATTCCGGTTGGTGACCCGTCCACCCGATTCTTTTTTCGGTTCACTCACCGATCTGGTTTTTAAAACATTGTGTATGAGTTTAGGGTTCGGTTGGGGATATTTGATCTTGGTTGTTAATTGAATGTCAAATGTGAACACGTCATAGGATGACAATTATACATTGAGACCTAGATGATCGTATTACAATGCATATTACATTTAGTGTGCAACGTTAATCCACACACATCATGTAGTGGATGACATTTGTGTGTTTATTCGATTGTACAAGTGTTTGAATGTGTAACGTGTCTAATTAGTGTTTACATACATGGCACAATACATTGTGCAAAATTATTGAGGATTTGGGTTTGTAATTAAATGTGGATTGAATCCCATTACTCGAAGTTAAAGTTACGTTGAGTTGGGAGAGATGATGGTTCAATGCATGGGTTGGGTTGCGATGTTCCATATTACATTTAGGAAGTTACATTATTTATAATTCAACGGTGGAGTATTAAAATGTGACGTTGGGTTTAAGATATTACATGTTACATTTACGTTGGATTTGGGATGAGAAGCATATGAGAATGTCACATTGGGTTTAGAAATGTAACATTAGGTTTGGGATGTTACATTTATGCCTTAAATTTCAAATTTCCAACCATATAGATATAATCACAATCTATGATAACATTAGATTTCTCATATATGATATTGCCATTAATCAAGCTATTTTGAATTTCAGAAGCATATGGAAATGTTACATTTGGTTTGGGAATGTCACGTTGGGTTTAGGATGTTACATTTATATTTTGAATTTTAAATTTCCAACCATATAGATATGATCATAATTTATGATAACATTGAATTTTTCATATATGGTATTGCCATTAACTAAGTTATTTTGAATTTTAAATTTCTAACTATATAGATCTGATCACAATCTATAGTAACATTAAAATTTTCATATATGATATTATTATTAATCAAGTTATTAATTAATGAAGATTGGGGGTATATGTGTCCACAGTAAAACCACAGGACCTATTGGACTATAGTTTTTTCATAAAACCATATTTTGTATAAGTCTTCCAAATAAGACTTAAAAATAATTTACCCAAATTTATTTGGTTATGAGTATTGAAAAAAAAAAATTAAATTGTATTTTTAAATTTTGAGTTTTTGAATTGTATTTTTAAATTTTTTAGGTATATTTTTTATTAAAATATTTAAAATTTTTCTTAATTTTTTTTTTAGGGCAACTATTTTTTATTGTAGATATTTATTTATTTATTTTAATATGTAGTGCGTTATATTTTTATTTAATATTTAAAAATTTTATTTTTAATTTTAAATATAAAATTTTAATTTAAAATATTTTTTATTTATTATTTTAAATATCTTAATTTTTTTTAAATTTTAAAAAAATTTAGATTGCCCATATATCTCTAAATCACAACAAATTATTTGGCCAATACTTAAAAAAATAAAAAAATATTTTTTTCAAAAAAAAAAATATATATATATATATTTCTTCAAAAATAAAAATAAAAAGATAATTTTTTGATTTTTTTTTTTTTAAATAGAGTTTTGAAAAGAGTTTGGTTTTGAGTTTTAAATTTAATTTTGAATAGTGTATTTGATTATAGGTTTTTTTTAAAAAAAAAAAATTTATCCAAATCATGATTTGAGTTATAAACCAAACGCTACCAAAAATAACTTTCCCAGAGATTTTTTTTTTTTTTTGAATAGAAATACCTTTCCCGGATCAATTTCAAGTTCTTCAAGCATGCACAGCTTGCCAAGTTTGAGGATGGGCTCATTTATTGACAAATCTTCCTGTTACAAACCAGGTTATAGATATGATATAACAAACAATTCTACTTTCTAGAAAAGAAAAAGAAAAATACCTTTTGCGGGGCACATTTAAGTCCTTCAAGCAAGCACAGGTTGCCAAGTTTGAGGACGCACTCATCCATAGACAAATCTTCTTGTTCTATAATCGCAATTATTTCGTCTCCCAAAGAAAAAAAATTTCTCCCAAGCTCTAAGAACATAATTGCTAAAAACAGGTGTTCAAGTTGTATTTTGTCAACACCTACACCAAATTTATGAAAAGCATACACATTAAAAGATTCAACCTACTATTTTTCATAATCGAACACCAAACCAAGCCAAGCCTTAAGTTCCATCAAATGGGTTAACTGCATAAATTCTTCTTCTCTACTCGACTCTATCCAAAGGCCATTTTGTAGTCAAATTAAGGAGATTAGTAAGTGCATTTGGTAAGATTTTTTTATTTACAAGTCAAATTTCAAATGATAAAGATGCCTTTATCTAGAAGTGCATCAGTAAGTGAATTTGGATGTAAAGCAAAAGCATTCTTACCAGCTAAACACTGTGCTGTCCCGTATATGCGATACCTAGGATTTCTCGCAGGTTCCTCAAGAGCTTGTCGTAACTGCACAAACTTCAAGACACTTCCTCTAATCCTTGTGCGAAGCAGGCCCAATAAAAGATGATGTGAGCCAATAAAACGATGTCCTTCTGACCTTCTTGCACAGTCAGCATGTCCAACAACCTCAATTACCTCTTCTGTACAATTTCCAAAGACACCTGACCGCAAGGGAAATGTAGCTGATTTCATGGACTTGTGTAACTGCAAAAGGAGAATGGAAAATGGAAAATTGCAATGGTGCAAAGAATTCATAATCCTCCACAGAAAACTTTCATACAAAGCACAATAATTCTGCAAAACCCACAAAAGTAGACAAATATTGCAACTACTGGGCCACTATTCAGTGATATCCTAAATTTACAATATGCTCATTTTAAGTGGAATATGCCATCTGATATGCAAATAATCTGCCACATCAAATGGGAAAAAGCCAAAAAAACTCTTGCATGTAACAGAGCTATACTCATCAGTTATACATTAAAAAAATGTGTGCTAAGGATTATGGCACGGGCAACAATATTTGCCACAAGCAAAACAAATTACCTCAAGCCCTTTCCATTCTATTAACTGGTCCATGGCTTCAAGTATTTGACAAGCAAGTACATCAAGCCCAACAAATTGGACAGGCGGCTCAAGCCTATGCAGCTCCAAGAAATCGAAGCACCCCCAAGGCTCCAGCAATAGAACATTAGTGATACCACGGCACTTCTCTTGGGTCAATTCCATCATTAGGTGCATTGCATAATTTCTCTGGTTTAAAAGAGAGAAATTAAAAAATAATCAATAAAATTATATATGGAAAAAACGTTCATAACTATATGAACTCAAAACTCTTAATCCAATTTTTCTAGATTTTTGAATTAAAAAAATACAAAAATACATGTGTCATAAAATCATTGGCTCTTCAACTTTAATTATAATTATTGAATTTTTTATTATTATTGCAATACATTTCAAATTTATTAATTCCTACCTTCCAAATTACTTTATTTATGGAAATAAATAAATAAATAATCCTTAATTTATGACATTATTATAGAAAATAAATCAGAATTTTAATTTTTTAATTTTTTATTTTTAAAAGAGAAGAATACATATGACAAATAACTATTGGACCAACCAAATTATATTGAAAATTTTAAAATATTTAAATATAAAGGCCAAAATAGTATCTTATCTATATTTAAATTGCATCTCATTTAAATTTTTATTTTTGAAAATTAATAAATATAACTCCGCCAGTGTTGTTAACAACTCCGTCGGTCCCAAGCCCAGGTAAAGGAGGAGGGTTGTGTGTTAAGTAGCCGACAGCCAACACGTAAAAAAGCCGCTCGGATCCCTTATGACAATGAATCCTACTTTGAATCGTTTAAATGCTAGGTCGTTCCCCTCAAGTGGCGCGTTAGCTTAGTACCTACCTCCAGGTGTTTCGAAAAGTGAGCAAGGGGCGCCGCATTGACGCCTGGGTGTGGTGAAAAACGGGCAAAGATTCCCGCGTTTTTCTGGACGAGTGCGAGTAAAGAACCTAGTCCAAAACTACAGGTTTAGGGTAGCCACTTGGAATATAGGAACCTTAACTAGTAAGACGATGGAATTGATAGATGTTATGCTTACGAGGAGAGTTAGTATAGCTTGCGTACAAGAAACTAAGTGAACGGGTGAGAAAGCTAGGATAATTGAGGATGCTGGTTTTAAGCTGTATTATAGTGGTCAGGATAGACGCAAGAATGGGGTAGGAATCATAATTGCCAAGGGTCTTGTGGAGAATGTAATGACGGTCATTAGAAAATGGGATAGGATTATGTTAGTTAAACTAGTTATTGGAGGGAAGACAGTTAACGTTATTAGTGCATACGCCCCTCAAGTAGGACTAAATGATCAGACTAAGAGAAATATTTTGGAGCAAAAGGGATGAGATCTTACAGGAGATACATGTAGGAGAGAACTTGGTTATAGGTGGAGATTTTAATAGTCATGTAGGCATAGATAAACTAGGCTATGAAAGGGTGCAAGGTGGATACAGTTTTGGTGACAAAAATAAGACTGGAGAGAGTATCTTAGATTTTGCATTGGCTTCTGACCTAGTGGTGGCCAATACTATGTATAAGAAGAAGGAGGAGCATTTGATAACCTTTAAGAGTGGGTCAATTAAGAGCCAAATAGATTATTTCTTAGTAAGAAAAGTGGACCGCCTAAAATGCAATGATTGTAAGGTGAGTCTTGGAGAGAGCTTGGCCTCTTAACATAGGATTTTGATACTAGATTTATGTTTCAAAGGGCAATACCAAGCTAGGAAGAATGGTGGGCGTCGTAAGACGAGATGGTGGGACCTAAAAAAGAGATAAATTAGAAATATTTAAGAATAGAATGAATAAGAAAGATACTTAGGACTTGGAAGAGGATGCTAACACTAAGTGGAACTCGATGGCCAATTGTATGAGGAGAATCTCAAGGGAAGTGCTTGGAGAGTCGAAAAAAAGGGGACCCAGCTCTAGGGAAACTTGGTGGTGATCTCAAGGAAAGTTCTTGGAGAGTCGAAAAGAACGGAACCCAGCTCTAGGGAAACTTGGTGGTGGAGGGAAGAGGTTCAAGCGGTAGTTAAGGCCAAAAAAAAAAAGTATTTTAAAAAGTGACAGAATGATAGAGCTGAGAAAAACCTTAAGAGCTATAGATTGGCTAATAATTAGGTCAAGAAAGTAGTAAAAGAGGCTAAGTTGAAAGCTTATGATGACCTATATACTAGACTAGACAGTAAGAAGGGAGAGAAAAGGATATACAAACTTGCTAAGATACGGGAGAGGAAAACAAGAGATTTTAATCAAGTTAAGTGCATCAAGAGTGAGGATTCTAAGGTATTGGTGAAAGATGAAGAGATTAAGGAAAGATGAAAGAACTATTTTGAGAAACTACTAAATGAGGAACATAGAAGTTCGTTAATAGGAGAAGAAATGGCCAGTAATACGATAAACCAAGACCTATCGTAGGATTAGAAACTTTAAAGTGGATATTACACTTAAGAAGATGAAATCAAATAAGCCTTTAGAATTCGATGATATCCCTATTGAAGCTTGGAAGGGTAAAAAAAGGATTGCTTGGTTGACTAGGTTGTTTAGTAAAATTTTGTTGACTAGGAACATGCCAGATGAGTGGAGGAAGAGTATTTTAGTGTCAATCTATAAGAATAAAGGAGATGTCCAGAATTGCAACAACTATAGAGGAATCAAACTAATGTGTCATATAATGAAAGTGTGGGAGACGGGGATGGAACGCCGATTGTGAGATATAACAGAGGTGTCAGAGAATCAATTTGGGTTTATGCTAGGTAAGTCAACAATGAAAGTGATCTATCTTTTGAGGAGAGTAATAGAAAAGTATAGAGAGAAGAAAAAACACATTCATATGGTGTTTATCGACCTTAAGAAAGCATATGACAGAGTGTCTTGGGATATAATGTGGTAGGTGCTAGAGAAGAAAGGGGTGACAAAAGATTACATTGATGTGATTAGGGACATGTATGAAGGGATGGTGACCACTATTAGATTATCTACTGGAGAGACAAATGAATTTCCTATCACTGTAGGGTTACACCAAGAATCTACCTTAAGTCCTTATCTTTTTGCTTTAGTTATGGATGAGTTGACAACAAATATTTAGGATGACATGCCATGGTGTATGCTTTTTGCAAACGATATCATGCTAGTGGATGAGACTAGAAAAGAAGTTCACACAAAGTTGGAGACTTGGAAAAAAGCACTTGAATCTAAAGGATTCCAAATAAGTAGAACTAAAACAGAGTACATGGAGTGTAAATTTAATAACAGTAATAATGAAAGCAGAGAAGTGAAGATTGAGAACCAAAAACTACCTCAGAGTAAACATTTTCGTCATTTAGGATCGATTATCACAACAGCGGGAGAGATTGATGCGGATGTGGCACATAGGATTAAGACAGGATGGTGTAAGTGGAGAAGTGCGTCTGGGGTACTGTGCGATAAACGAATACCCATTAGACTAAAAGGTAAGTTCTATAAACGACTATTAGACTAGCGATGTTGTATTGGACGAAGTGTTAGGTAACCAAGAAACAACATGTAGATAAGATGAGGATGCTAAGGTGGATGTGTGGCAAGACTAGACAAGACAGAATTAGGAATGAGTGTATTCGGGAATAGATAGGAGTAGCACCGATAGAAGATAAGTTGAGAGAGAATCGATTAAGATGGTTTGGTCATATTCAACGGAGACCAACAGAGACGGTAGTGAAAAGATGAAATGCAGTGACGGTAGATGGAAGTGTTAAGGGACCAGGTAGATAGATTAACGTTGGTTAGCGTTGTAAATAAAAATATGGATCTACTTAATTTGACTAACAAAATGGCCTTTGATAGAGTCGCATGGAGAAAAAGGATTCATGTAGCCGACCCCATTTAATGGGGACTTAAGGCTTGCTTTGGTTTTGTTTGGTTTGAAAATTAATAAATATATGTGGCATAAAACTATTGGTGTATCTCCCCATATATCTAAATTGAAATTTTAAAGACCTTTTAATAGAAATAGAAAGTCGAAAAAAATCTTAAGGGGTTGTTTGGGATGATCTAAATAAGTGCACTTTTTGACTTTTTATGAAATATGGGTTGGATTTGAAGTGATGTGTTAGAGAGGTGATGTGACTTAAATAAAATGATGTGACTTAAATAGGATAGTAACTTTTTGACTTTTTGTCTTTTTCAAGACATGCCAAACTTGGCCTTATTCATATTTTAGCCACATCTCATTTAAAAATATTTAGAATCCAATTTAAATTTTAGAATCTTTAAATTCAAAAAGTCAAAAATGAAGTCTTATTAATGTTATGATAACCACATAACATTAAGTTCAAAGCTGACTTCAGGATGATGAATGAACTATCCACTTTACACGGAGACATTAATTTGAGCAAGCCGCAAATGCAAAGTGAACGATACATTTGACTGCGAAGACGAAGCACAAACATATATAACAATCCTAAACTTCAATACAATATTTTGGTAAACATTTTTTAGTAATTTATCAACAGTTCTTCAGTGTTAATACCTTTGAGTGATCTAATTGTGAAGTAGCAGAAAATATTATATTAAGAAACAAATCAAAAGTGATTCACACTTGCACCTTCAATGGTCGAAACTGCTTCATAACAATCACCGTACATTGGATTAAGAGTTCAGACACACGCACATCCTACATCAACATAAATCATATTCAAAACATTGCATAACTAATCAATTATGATAGATGAGTGTACTTGAACTATGGAAAAACAACAACGAAAGGAGCAAAGCCAAAAAAAAAAATACATATATAAAATTACTTAGTAATGCCATTTAAAGTTCAAATAAAAAATACTGTTGTTTGATGCCTCAAACAATCATCTACAATTCTCAAGCATGCATACCCATACCAAGAAAAATGAAGACAAATATAACACATCACAATAAGCAATTTTTCAGCTACAAGTCAGAACAAAAGGAGATTAATAACAAGAAGGCTAGGGATTACAAGGGCAACAGCATAAATAAGGACTAAAATAACGTGTTACCTTATGGATCAGCAAGTCTTGTGGTGTTGTCTGTTGCTGCACAAATACGTTTTTCTATTATCTCTGAATAAGTGACTGTGGCTGTTACAAAGACTAAAAGCAATGTCACACAGTGACATGTAATTGTAACAGTTACCTCTAAGAGACTATTAACATCATATTCATGAAGAAGGATAAAATCATCCAACTTCATCTCCCAACGAGCAATGGCCAGAATAGCTTCGTTAGTAGTCTATAAAGTAACAATAAAAGTTGCACCATCAACTTGTTTGCAATATCAATTTCAGTTATCAAGCTAGACAAACCAATAAACTCAAAATCAAACTTAAATAGGAATGTCAACTATGTAATTATAATTTGATAGGTCCATGGCCACAATCCACTAACTTATATTGAACTCAAGAGGCTCACACAAACCTTGTGCAATCTGAATAAATCAAACATAAACTTATTACGCTCAGCATTCAACTCTTCCTCGTAAGCAATTCGAATAAAATCTTCCTGGAAAAAAAAAAGGATGGGAAAAAAAGGATGATCAGTACAGGTGTTTTCCACGAAGAAATGAAATAGGAATGAATATGCATCAGCGGTAGTCAAAGCATTATGTTGATATATTTTGAGCTTATTTCTGTCCAAATTTTTAAAAAAATACATACATATATATATATATACATACACAGAGAGAGACCCAAAAAAAAGTAAAGAAAATAAAATAAGGAGCATCTACCTGAACAAGTTACTTTGTGATTGTATAATGATACAATTACAAAAGCTAAAAAAATGACAATAGAAGGGAACAAGGTTTAGGTTAATAGCATGTAAAAGTGAAGGGATAAAGAGACAGAATAGAAAAGAACACAATGCCAAATACAATCACTAACACAAGAGAGTGAAGACGTCAATGACAAGGGAAAGGTCTGGACATAATTGACAAAACAAGTAATCTGACCACCCAATTTATGAACTGGGTGAAAAATGTCATCACATTTGGTCAAACTACAAACACATACTAAGCAATTACATAAATAAAAAGCAGTGTGTGAATGCAATATGAAACAATCTAAGCAATCTAATGATGAAGAATGTGAATCTCAAACTTGATTAGCATAATTTTTCAGCCAGAGCAATTACCATATCATAAACACTTAATACAAGAATCATAAGAGCTTTCAAAACCTCCCACTGCACATGTATTAATGCATCAGGGTCTTCCGAGAACACTTCGTTCTCCACTCAGGTGCAACTAATACGAGAAAAACTATTATGGGCTAAGAATGCAGCCCCCTTGGCACCTGTGAAGACTCGGTCCTCGCCACCTCTATCTTTAAGGCTCGAGAACATTGACTTCCTCAAAAAATCCTGGGACAAAGTAGGTCCAAAAGTAAGTGAAAGCGAGAAGACAAGCCTAACACAAAGCTAAAAAATATACCTTTGATACAGCACGATACAACGTTACATAAGAAACATTTATAGTCTTATTTTTACGGGTTAATTACAACATAGTGGGAGAGAAAAAAAAAATTACAAAAAATGTGGGGTGTAAGTGATTTTGTCATGGGGTACAAGTGAAAAGCCGTCTCCATGTTTGTGTTAAAAAATAAAAAATTGTCCCACTGGGATGTAGGGGGTGTAATTTTGGCCTGCGGCTCGTGGGCGGCCCAAAGCTCGCCCGCGGCCCGAGGTGGGCCCGGCCCGTTAAGGCCTGAGCCCAAGCCCAGCCCGAGGCCTTGGGCCAAGGCCTGGGCCATCGTTTTGAAGCCGGCCCAGCCCATGGGCCCACTCAAGGCCCGTCCAAAAGCCCAGCCCACTCGAGGCCCAGTGTTCTTTTTAATGGAAAATAATAAAATTTTGGTGGAAAAAATTAAAAAAAATGTTTAGGCCCGCCTAAAGCCCGAGCCCAAGGGCCCACCCAAAGCCCGAATACCCCTGGGCCTGGGCTTGGGCCTAGTTTTCTGGCCCGTGGACCAGCCTGGCTTGATTTTTTTGGCGGGAGCCCGCAAGGCCCGACATGGGCCAGGCAGGACCGGGCCAAAATTACACTCCTAGACACAATTGCATTTGCACAGCTTGACTAAGAAAAGAAAAAAAAACTACAATTACCTTGACATGTCCTAACAAGGTGTTAGTAAAAATTATGCGAGGGTCGGATCAACCGCAACCAAATAGTAATTCAAACTAGACAACTTAAACAAGAATAATCAAGCAATTGTGGTTCTAGTTCGAATGCTTCAAAAGAATGAGGACTTCTTTGGATCAATTAATGAGAACAAAGTAAACAAGAAGGAAAATAAACTTTCTATATCAACAGATGGTAACAAAGTAGATTGCACAAGAAGAAAACTTTCCACTTTCCACGTTAGCCCCACATGCAAACCTCACTTCTAATTGATGATCTCTGTCCTTTGATGATTACAATTTACTCTAGGCTTGGCCACGTGTCCTCTATTGACTGGTCCACCTATCGATAGGGCTTGGCAAAAATAGGTGCAAATAATACCCCCCCTGTTCAAGTTAGCTGAATATCAAATGAATTTAATTTGAACAAACTTGCCACTTGGGTCCAAATTAGACTCAGAGCAAAACTTATCTCCCTACACCCAAAAAATGAGAAAGATAATGAACTACTTACTTCGAGCCCAAAACAAAAAAGACCACAACCTAAAATAAGACTGCTTTATTATTTTAAAAATACCAGGCCCATTATAAACTATAAAAGACCCACCTTTTCAACTTTAAATCACTTCAACTTCATTTCCCTCTGATTCAAACTCCCCAGACTGCACTTCTTCTCAAACACTCTCATCTGAAACCAAAGCATTGCAAAACCCTAGGCTATGGCACCCAAAAAATCAAAGCCAGTTCACATAGAAGAAAGCAATGAAGACCTCCTCCGTTTTCCAAACTCCATCAAAACACTTATCAACAATTCAAAGCTAAGTATTACCTTATTGCCCAGCACTAACTCCGTCGCTAAAGCCACCTTAGGCCCTACATTCTTGTCCCACTTTCCAGATGAGTTAGCTCCATGCTACCCCTTTGCTAATGGTGAGAACCTGCTTCTCAACCAACCTAACCTTAGCTGCACAAATTGGAATACTAGCAAGAACCCCCTCAGATCCTGAAAGTCGCCAGATTCCACATGGCAAGGCTGGGTCAAGAGAATTGAAGCCCATGACTTTGAAGTATGGAAACATCAGGGCATCAGTAAGGTAATTAGGCTGTCGACCATGAAATATGACATGGACTAATGGCTAATTGCTGTTGACACATGCTTTTGGTCCCAGTCTTGTAACTCTCTACTTCTAAATTTTGGCATGATTTTCCCCATTATCCTAGATGTAGCTCATTTAACTGGCCTTCCAATTTTAGGCAACCAAATTCATGCCCTGCTTGACCCCCACAAGTGACTTTCACCTTAAACACTGATATGAGCTACATAGAATTCATTAAAAAATACAAAGGCAAACCTGGTTCCTCTGTCGAGGACCAAGAAAGAACTGCTTTTTACTTGGTTTGGCTTTGTCAATTCTTTTTCTGTGTTCCTGAATACAAGATCACCAAAGAATACCTTCCCCTTGCTTCATGTATCCAAGATGGCCACTGTAGACACCCTATTTTTGACCGCCCTTAAGACTTGGGCGCTACTGATTGCTTACTTGGTAATGAAAGGTGTGCAGTGCAAAGGTTCGATTTCTTTGGCAAGGAGAATGTCAAATCCCAAACCTCACACCCCTTTTTGGACTAAAACTATTTTGACCAAAGATTTTAAACCTTAAAACCCTCTCTTTTAAATTATTTTTGAAAATGATTCTACGATGTTCTGAGACTCGCATTTAGTAAACCGAGCAAGGACAAAGTAGAAATGAATGAAAGAGAGGTAAACTCTTTGAAAAATCTTTCAAAACATATTTTTTAAAGGTTTGGATTTGAAGAAAATTGGAGGAGAGGGAAGAAACCTAGTTGGGGGAAGAAGTTGGGCATAAACCGTTAAGAGAGAGTCGAGCAGCCCTCACTAAATTAGCCTATCCGTTTGTACACTTGGATTTCAGCTATGAGGCCACCACCATTGGAAAGAAGACTTCTGGAGATTCATTTTTCACTCAAGAATCTCTTACAGCCGTGTCCGAATGAGGGAGATATGGCTAGTTGAAGTTAGGCATCAATCCGATTGGACCGAAACTGAGCAGTCTTCACTAAAAAAGGGATATCTCTTAGCACACTTAGAATTTTGATGGGAGACTTCCACCATTGGAAATAAGACTTTCGGGGATTCAGTTTAGGCTCAAGAATGACCTGAAAAGGGGTCCAGATGAAGGAGTTATGCTTGTTTGAAGTCGGGGCCAGAACTAGTTTTTTATGTCGGCCTCTGGGGGGAGTGTGCCGGCCACAAATGGATGGTGCCGGCCATAGGTCGGCCAAAAGTGACCCTTGTCAGCCACCATTAGTAGCTGGTCAGCCAACAATGTGGCCGAATGTGGCCGGTCGGCCATCAATGTCCACAAAACTTAAAATTTGCAGATATTTTACTCTAGCTATCTTCCAAATGCTCCAGCTGTCTCTGAATTAGATATTTCGACCCAAGGCTTGCATTTTTCTATATATAGAGGCCATATCTCTCATATTGAAAGGTTAGGAAAGTTTGGGAGCCTCTCTCTCTAAAATCTCTCTCTCTCTATAATCCTCTCTCTCTCTTGCCTCTTGTGCATGCAAGTAGAGAAACACCTCTCCTTTGCCTAGACATCCTTGATGAAAGTGGTTCATCTTTGGGTTGAGGTTTCTTGAAGTTCTCTTGGAGCTTCCTTTGAGCTCTAGAAGGTGGTTTAAGCTCAGATTCTTGCTTAAGTTGTGTCTTCCCATCAAGAGTTATAAGACTCACCTATTTAAGCTTGTTTTGCATGCTTGTTTTGCCACCCTTTCAAACTGTTTTTGGCCTGGTTTTCAACTACAAAAACCTCTATTTTTTAGTCCTAAAAATGTTGGTTTAAAGCCATTTTGTGCCAAGGGGTTGTATCCCCCTTCTTGTTGCCTATTTGTATATGCCTTTGCATCATCTCTTAGCATGTAAAAGTCAAACTTTTGGGGCCTTTAGAACACTAAAATTCATAGTTATTTCAGTGGTAAAAAGTGTGTTTTGAAGTCAAAAAATGGAGGGGGTGGCCTCCCCTCCTTCTCTCGCTCTTTCATGCCTAGTTAGCATTACAAAGTAGCATGATTTTGTGGCTTAGCTTAGCTTAATCTCAGCATATTTTAGGCTTTGTTTTGATGTGTTTCAACTCTGTTTTGGGTTGGTTGGTGCACTTGAAGCTTGCTTTTTGTACTTGTAGTGCAATTATGCTTACTAGTCTAGCATGCCTAATGAGTTAACCCATCATTCTAGTTTGCGTTAGCTTGACTCCAGCACATTTTAGCTACTGTTTTGACATGCTTTAAATCTTTTTTGGGTCGATTAAGCCCTTCGAGGCTTGCTTTGCATGGCTATAATGTAACGGTCTTCACTAGTCCATAGTTTTGAGGCTTTAAGCATGAAGTATTTGAGTTGTTTGCATGTTATAGTCTCATTTAGCATGTGATTTCAGTGCATATATCTCTATCACACTCTCACATATTTCACTCTTTCATTGGTTTTGAGAGTTGTGTTTTGTGCCTTGTTCATGGAACCAGGGCTCGGGTAAACCACAGAATGGGAAGTCTTCACCCTTCTGGACAAATAGCCATTCAAGGTTCCTCGGATTGGTCTATGCACAAGTTTGTATCGCTTCCCAGTCTGCTTAGCTCTGGTTCTTCCTGCCATCTCTTTCCTTTTCCTCACCTAGTCCTCTTTGGTGGGCGTATAGCCAAGACCAAAGGCATGAGGGTTATGTGGTATGTTGGCCAATACAGTGACACCTTTCTGGCCACTTCCGCCTTAGTGCCTCAACTTCCTGGTAGCCCAAACCAAGGCTAA